TTAGAGACTTTCTTTTGTTCTTGAATATATATATGTTCCTTTGGCAGTGGAGAGTTTTGCGTCTGTGAATGTGATGTGAACAGGTCCATAAAAAGGAGCTGAAACAAGATCAGACTAGTTTTCATTTCTGCGGTGATCTTTTGTGCAAGATAATTTCATTTAATAGCTCATTTTGAGCACTTGGTTGCCTGTAATACCATTTGCCAATGATGTAAAATCAAGTAAGATTTTTTTTAGACAGGTGTTTTTTTTTCACTGTCAACTTAATTCCCCTTTTAAACCTCAAACTGTTCCTCCTTTTATTTGCACAGCACTAACCATAATAACTACTTTCTAAGTCTTGTGTCACTGCAGAATCCCAATTCTAGGTTAGCAGATTGTTTTCTGAACATTAGGGTTCTGTGAACTTTTGTAAATCTGTCAAGTTTTCTGGGTGTTCTGAGAAGGTTTTCTCATAATTTTTGTAAATGTTTAAACAATGTTACTTCAACATCATTAGCTGCATGAACATTTAACACTGGCATGCTAACTGGGAACATTGAGTGAGCAGCATTCTAATAATATCTCTAATAACACTTTCTGTTAGCTGGGATGTAATATTTAAAACATTTATTTTGCATCCTTGCTGTTGATTAGATTAATGGAGAGGATGATCATTGTAACATTTTAATCATGAAGTTTTGATGCTGATTTGAGGGTCTCTGCACTCACAAAAATATGATACTGGATGCTGTTGATTGTGTTTTTTTTTAGACCATTTTTTTTAATATCATGCTAATTATAGACCTAGATAAGAGGCATGATGCATGATGCAAGTTGGAGCAAGAAACGCTAAGTTATAATACAAGTTGAAAACTGAGATTTTATATAGAAAATGGTGGATAGGAATCAAGTATGATTGCATGCTACAACTGAAGAAATGAATACCCAATGAAAGTAAAGTATTGGCCACAGCTGCTGTTGAGCTTTTGGACCACAACAGTAACATTTATGTGTTTTGAAGAAAAAGAAATTACAGTTAAAATGTGGTTGTGGGAATCTGGGTTCTTTATAAATGCTGAGAGTGCTTTTTTGTGGATGAGGCGTAGGAGGACTAGGAACAAAAAAACAAAAAGGCGCCTGTTCAGGCATAAATCTAAGTTTTAATATTATTTAGCTATATAATGGTATACAATTATAGGCATGCTATATGCCATGCAACCAGAAAGCTTAATGAGGAACAATTATGCAGATCTTTTTTTCCTCAGTACGTGACATTTACACTCTCTTCATTATTCATGCATTATATTTCAGTTCCAGGCTTCATAATGAGTCATGCCATGATGCCCGGAAATGACTCCATCTCATGTTGGCTGAAGTGGAATTAAATCTGATTGCTTCCAAGAAACTTGTGCAGCTTAAAAAGTGCCATGTTACATTTGTTAGCGTGATATCTAAAGCAACTGAGGAGTGAGGCAGAACCCAAACCAAACATAGAGCTGAGAGTTTAAATCCTTGTTCAGCAGCCCAAGAGTGGCCAGCTGGCAGCTCTGAGATTTATCTGACAACCTTCCGGTAACTAAGCACAGATCCTTAACTGCTGAGCCACAGCCACTCCTTCCACACCAAGGACATTTAACATGAAGTAGCACCTAACGGTTTTTGTGCAGTAAGTCTGAATTCTAATAATAAATGATATAGAAAAAAGTAAAATAGAAAGAAGTAAAATAGTAGAAATGGTCCATCTAGTAAAGTTTGCCTGTGTATGAATGTAAGAAAAATCTTAACAGACACAGACACTCCCTCCACACTTTGGATTACAGCTCTAATGACTCCTTTATTGGCTCTTTATCAGTTTCAGCTCTTTACTTACTTTGTATGAGAAGCACTGTAATCCTCTCCATTTCACCCATCTAATAGTCGCAAAACCACAAAGTCTGTCTAATGTTAATACCAATCATAAAGGGGTACATTTTTGTACAAAGTTGTGTAACATTTGGCAACACCTTAACCATCTTTGTGTACATAAGATATATCAAATTCCTAATTTCATCACTTTTTTTTGATCCTCAAAATTGGTTGCAGTCATTGTTACTTTACAAAAAATAGGCTGTTTTCTAACATAGCTCAGCGTTCAAGTATGCGAACTCTACCAGGTCTGCAACAACGCACTGATGGAAAACATGTGCTGCATTTTTGAGCAATGACTTGATGACTTGCCTCCATTGCTTCTACTAGAAAAAAGCTCACCACATTGGAAAACGTGATCTTCAGCTCAGCCTGAACTGGAAAAGCCTTCACGTGTAATCCACAGTATCTATCCAAACCTACTGCAATACCCCTCGATGTCTGAATGGCATGGATGATAGATGTTGATCCTGCTTATGAGGCCGCTCTATGGGAACAATTTTTAAAGTAAATAAAAAGCAGAGCTGGGGGATGACTTCCAGATGTTCAACTGGTTGCTTTGGCAGTAATTAGAAAACAAATGATGGCTCCCAAAACTCAATCTGGGAAGAAGTTACACTGCCGATGTTAGAAACTTTGTGTCAGAGAACAACCGAAGTTGGGAGAACATGAAAAATGCAAGCATGTGGTGGCATAGTCAGCTGGAAAAAGGGGGAAATTATTGTGAGCTCTTTTATCTTGAGCAAACCAATCAGCTTTTGCAAATAAGCCAGAAACCAATCCTCTACCCCTCCTATCTGAATATTGAAGGGAGTGATAAGTTTCTGATTACTCACAGGCAACCATTTGGGATTATAATGTGCAGAAACAGATGGCCAGCAAGCCTTTGCTGAACATGTAAAGGTGGGCAAAAGGCAAATGGGGGCGGTAAGCCCCTGTTAGACCAATTCACAAGCTCTTTGTGTTTATACAGCTGTTTCCATTTGTCTGAAGATCACATGGGCTTGTCTCATTGTGTGGATTTACCATATCTAACTGTCTTTTAATCCTCCATATCACCACCAAAACATTCTTTGATGTATCAGTTTTTGCTCCACATACCCACCACCAAGACACCAAGAAGACACCAAGGTGTGAACCGCCATCATCAGGAAGGGTGTAGCAGCACATTAATCAACTTCTTTATTTATTGATATTACCGTAGTTCTGAGAATCTTACCATAAAACCAACACTTAACTCCCAGCTAGCAATTTTAGGTTAGCAGAACATCTTATAAATGTTATGGTTCTTGGAATTTTGGGTTCAGTCTGTCAGGTTTTCTGGGTTTCCTGAGAATGTCCTTACTCAAGACATATAAATGTTCTTACAATGTTGCTGTAACATTCTTAGATATAGGAACATTAATGCTAATGTTCCTATGATGTGTTTTTGTGTAACTAGGAACTTACATGCTTAGTTTATATGGGTACTCTTAGTTAACTGGGTTGCATGTTGAGGTGGTAAAAATACTGAAATTCTCAAGTAAAGTGCACTTATTCATCTAAATAAACATTGATGTACAGCTTCAAATTCTTCTCAAGTTAAATTAGAACATTTTTAGAAGTTAATTGACAAAGTATGACAGTGAAAGAAAAACATCTGCTACAAATTACAGACAGATTTTAGTTACTGATGTTAAATTAGTGTCTCTTTCATCAAGGCACCAAGGAACATGTGAAAAGATTAGCTAAAGCTAACTAATTGCAGCTTATTCCTTTATTCCTAGTCTCGCAAATCTTAGCTTAGCTAGCATGATAATAACTCTGACTATACAAATGTAACTCAAGACAACAACTCAAGTAAATCACAGATAAACTCATTGCATTAAGTTACTTCACACCTCCTGTTGTGTGAACAGTCTAATAAGATTTTTAAGCTAGACATTATTTTATCAGATGTTTTATAACATTGCAGAAAAGTTAATGCCTAACCTTCTTAGAACTTGTCAGATACTTACTGAACATTCTAGTAACATACTTTGCTAGCTGTTCTTCAAAACTACCTTTAATATTATGACTAAGAAAAGTCTAGTTTGTGCTAGTTGCATTAGGGTGATATATGAGTCAGCAAAGCTGGCATAGTTTCTTATTCCTTTCTGCAGATTCCTGTACTTGGTCATTTTGTGTTCTGGAGGCTGTTTAAGGAATGATGTCCATTTCCGCTGCTTACGTGGACATGGGATGTAACTAGCAATTATCCCAATTTCTCATATCCCGTTTTGGGGACAGAGCAGAATTTTCCTCTAGCAGATCAGCCAATATGTGGCATACACATGATTCAGCGTTTGTGGAAACATATTGTTGACTTTTGCATTCGGGGATGTAGGCTAGCTTTGCATCAAGAATGATAATGATCCCCAACATAACTAGGATACTAGGAGCTAGCATGACCAAGCAGCACATGGTGTCTTTGGTTGCACTAACTCTTTACAATGCTTTTTTTTTTTCAAAATAGGACTAGCAGATTGCAGAGAATAGAGCTGGACTATATAAGATAAGATAAGGACAGGGAGTGAGGGAATGTAGTAGCAAGAAATCCCCCACAGCTGATTAGAACTCTATAAGTGTTTCTAAAAAAGTAGAATCCCTTTTAGGAAACCAAGAACTCTTAAGAATCCAGAGAACCAATGAAGAACAGTATTTATCTTAACACACATATACACAGTCTCTATGTTCAGCCCCTATGTAGCTCAACCAGGGATTCCCTTATTTATACAATATTTACAGGTGAAGGTTGTGACATATTTTGAACACTACAGTCACTGTATTTTTATAGTATTGTAAAATCTTCTGGCAATAACAGCAATACTGTTAATGCATGGGGATTATTTCAACACAAATTATATCTAAATCAAATTTATACTCATTTAGGACATTTTAAAACTGTTAACAGTTCTAAATTACTTATTGTGGAGACCTGGACAGGGAGTGAGGGAAGTGAGAGGAATAATCAGGGAGTATATACTGATTATTTTTTTTATTTTATTATATATATAATTTGTTGTTTATTGTTCACTGTATTTATTATTTAATTTAATTAATTTTTTATAAGCAATCTATACTCCTTTGGGGGTCCCTGGGAGACTAGTGGTTAGGCCTCTGCACTCTCACCACCATGGCCCGGGTTCAATTCCCAGCACAAGGGGTTGCACATGACAGTGCACTCCCAGTGCCGGTCCCAAGCCCGGATAAAATTGGGGAGGGTTGCATCAGGAAGGGTATCTGGCATAAAAACTGTGCCAAATCAAATATGTAGACCAATGATCTGCTGTGGCAACCCCTAACGGGAGCAGCCGAAAGAAGAAGAACGACAAGAATCTACTCATTTGATTTTTATTTTATTCTTTATTTTAAAGCTGTCAGCCGAGATGTCATGGACTGTACATAGTTCATATAAATATAGCGGGTGTCCGCAAAGTATATATGTTAGGGATTTTATAGTGTGGTCTTGGTTCTTGTGGATTTCATGGGAAGTAGATGGCTGTAAATGGTTTACTCTTGTGGATGAGGATGTTTTACTTTAACATCCAGCATCTGTTACAGCATGTTCCAAAGTTCACATGACAAGCAAAACGTCTGGATTTGGGGTCACTGCTAGATAAAATGATGCATTTAAATGATAACATCTATGTGGTGTCATGGCTTGTGCAGGGTTATTTTTTATTTCTGCCAGTTTCTAATAGAAGGCAGTTCCTCAAATATCCTTTACAATAGCATCTGTATGATGTTAAATATGTTAGAAATCACGGGGCGTGCTGTCATAGGAAAATAATTAACAAACAGGGCAGTGTGATGTGGCATTACACAAAGTGGAGTTACTGTGACCACCACAATGTTGATTATATTACTATAATAGCACATCCTGAAATGTTTTAATCCTCTTATACCGCAGCAATTTTTTAAAAATTTATTAAAGAAGACATTATTTGTTTATAGATACATTTAATGTTGTGAAACATACATAAAACAAGTTAGTTCCTGTTCTTGCTTACATTATAGCAGCTATAAACAATTGCTCCCTCGTCATTTTGTTTCTATCTTGCAGTTAATAAGGCAAAAAACATAGCTTACAGAGAACACATAGAGCCTTACGTTCTTAAATTTCCAGTGTCTCAAAACTTAATGTTACAGCTTTACCACTGATAGTTACAAAGTGCTGACACGGGAGACTCATTCCAAAAATGCTAAATAAACATCTATTCACAGAAAACTTCACCATAACAATTACATGTTTTTAATCTATTTATTTGGAGAGTGTAAGTGTGTAAGTTGCTTCTAAAGAAATGTTAACGTATTAGCACAAAAGCGTTAATATAAACCTGAGATTAGATTAGATTAGCATCCTAGTAAACAATTTTTTTTACTATTGAATTCTCTCCTCAAGGACTTTGACATGACAGTAAATTAAACAAACTGGGTGTCAAATCCTACACCAAAACAAAAGTCACACTGAAAGTCTGACAAAAGCTCAAACAACACTGGAACTGCAGCAAATGAAGTCATCTAAACACTATAACACACTGTGCTTTTTGGAATGGTAACAAGACTGTGTTGCAAATCATGGACCCATCTCCAGTCCCTCTGCCCCAGACCAGTTTATGTGGAAATGTCTGCATGGTTTAGTAGGTTTTGGGCCAAGGCAGGCTTGATGGTGTTAGCTTATGGAAAACAGCACTGTGCTGCCATGTGTTTTGGCTAGAGATTTCTGCTGTCCAGTAAAATACTCATCTTGTATTTAAGTTGTAAATTACATTTAAATTGAGTAACACATGTCGCCTTGTTATTAATTTGCCTTTTGTTTTTCGGCTGAAAGTCAAGAACATGATTTTGATCAATACAGTCTTTAATAAGAAATCAAGGAAGGAACCAAACTGAAGCCATGTATTATACTCTGGTTTTGTGGAAACGCTTGGGAATGCCTTTATAAGTTATTCAGAACAATGTGGTGTGTTATTCATGCTTATTGGGCTTAATAACTTTTATTGAAAATGCATTTAAAATTAAATAAGTAGATGCTTCTAATCTGATAAGGACAGCTGCGTCTCATGATCTTAACTATATTTAGCCTAATTGTATCAGTGAAAATAGTGCAGTAAACTTGTTGTTTACAATTTACTGTATTCTCATTTCTAGCTTTGTTGCTTATGTGCTATGAAGCAAAAGAAATGTAAAAAAAAAAAAAAAAAAAAAAAAATCTGGCCTCTTGTTAAAGGAGGAGATTCATCACTTTGTTAGTGAGCTTGTTCTCGCGTTGTCTGCCCTGCAGGAAGTTGCCCTTAGACCGGTATTTCCTGTGGGCAGAGGGATGTTTAATGTCTGGATCTGAACAGGGGTAAATTCCCATGTGCTTTTTTTTTCACTCATAGTGCAAAGTAATAAAAATGTAACTTAACTGTACATTGTACAATGTACAGAAGCAATATTTTTGCTTTATTAATTCTCATAAAGAACGAAGAGGTTGCAGAGTTTATTAAAGTTATTTCTTGTACAACTGTAGATTTTTATTATAATATTCTTCATAACTAATCCATGATAGTAATCCCGCATTGTTCTGATAATAAATGCTTGATCAGTGTTTGAAAATGCTTTAAATATAGTTGAAAGAAGATGTCCACTAGTGATACATTGCATACATGACTTCCTTTACTCATAATGGCATTCATGTGGTTTGATTTTTGACAAAAATTGAAAAATCTTCTGTTGAAAAAAAAAATATGTGAAGTTAGAGAGGTAATCCCTTCCATCCGGAATAAGCTTCTCACACAGCACAACGCCAAACCAGCTGCTCATGACTATTAGGAAAAGTATGCATAAGCTTAAAAGAGGTGAGTGCTGCCAGATCATGAAAACAATCAAGCATGATCCTCAGCAGCATCATTTTCACATTTTTAAACAGTGTTTCCATGCACAATGGACTACATTGACTAGTTTGATGAATTACTGCAAACATTAAGGTTTCCCATTTGGATGAAGGCATGTCTTAGCATTTTCCCTGTTTCCAGATTGCAACATTTGTATCTGTGACTTGACCTTCTAGATCACGTGAACATACAGAGCTCTTATTGCTGCCTACAATATTCCCAGCATGCAAAACTCACTACTTTTTTTTTTGCTGTGATTTAATTTCTGCAGTTGAATCATGGGACCACAAGCTTCAGTGTTCACTTTGCAAAATGCATTGTACATTTTTTTTAAACTTTAAGTGGAGTTTTGTTTATTGGCTTTTTCAACAATCCCATTCAAAGTGCAGATTTTTTCCATACTAAGAGTGAAAAAGCAATTTCACACTTGTTATGTTCATACTTGTGTTGCCATGCATTGCCTTCGAGAAATACATTCTGTAAAATACAGAAATGTGGAGAGGCCTCTTTTTGTTATTATGCTTCAAAACTGAATACCACTTTATTATTAAGCAGTCAACCTCCATAAACTCTTTTGGAAAAAAAAGTGAAAATATATTTTTAAATATAGCATTTGATTGTTTTGGTGTTTATATTTTCATTTTCTATTCAGTTTATATTTTGTAACGCTTAGAATTTTTTAATTTATATTTAATTCAATAGATTATTCTTTATTACTATATTTTTTATGCTCACTTTGTATAGTAATATATTAATTTATACATTGTACAGTATGTACAGTACATAATTAAGCAGTAAATAAATAAGATTTAAGGTCCACTATATTCATTTTCCCAGGTAAAAGAGACATAAGGTACAAAAGGGTACCACCCCAATGACATGCAATGGTTCAATCCTCTTTACTCCCTGCATAATATCTGAAAATTTCACAGAGGTATCAGTTGCATCCCCTAACCCCCCAAACCTTTGCATCCCCTAACCCCCCAACCCCTACCTCTCCTAAAAAGTTGACATCATTGACCCAGGGCAGAGATTTATGAGATGTTCGGGCCTCTTAAGAGGCCCCTCACGAGTGCTCTGCTTTTTCTTAGCCTTCAGAGCATACACCTTGTGTTTGAAATGTGAAAACCAGAGGGCTCAGGCCTGGGCTTGTTCAAAATGGCTTCCTTTCTGTCTTTGTATTTGCATTCTGTGAGCAAACAGCCACAAGTACCATGTGCTTTTAAAGGTAGAGACGGTCAAAGAAGTGCTAATAAAGTGAAGCAGAATCTTTCAGTGCTGGTCAGCTTGGAGTAAATATTTATGAAAGACATCCTTGCTTTGGGGCTGAGCCTGCAGAAGAAAGCAAAGTAATCCAGAGTTGTGGCAAAGCAGCTGTGGGGACTCTGTGAGCTGTCACGTATAGGCTTAGAAAAAAAGAGACTGGAAAAATAATGAGACTGGAAAAAGCACTGCAGGAAATATGGACTCGGTTTATATCCGTCGGCTGGAAAGAAATGTGTTTTATGAAAAGCTAGACTGGACACATTGTATAAATATGAATGTCTTTATGTCATTGTTGTTTCTTTTGTTTTCAAGAACTGTTGCTGTAATCATAAAGACTGTCCTCAAGACCTGTACTCATGCCAGAATTCACAATATGCTCATACTGAACATCATTTCAACACAGACCTAGTACTGTTTGTCTTTACTCTTCTACACCTGTATATTGCTGTCACGCAGAAGAGGAAGGATTCCCTTTTGCATCTGGTTTCTCTCAACATTTTCTCCTTATGTCATCTTAGGGAGATTTTCCTTGTCCCTGTTGCCTCTGGCTTACTAATTAAGGAACCTAAATTTACATCTGTACTTCTGTAATACTTCTCTGTCACCATGTCTACTGTTAAAAGCACTATAGAAATTAAATAGAATAGAATTGAATCGATTTTATTAGGTTTTCCAATCAGGTATTTTATGTGAAAATGTTGTGAAGTTATTTTCAGAAAAAAATATTACTAGAAGCAGAAAACATAGATAAAATACCATTCATGGCACTTTTGTCATGGCACTTGGACAATTTATCCTCCAACATCTGTACCATATTTGTATAAAGTGCAACAGTGCAGGCTCTGTAAATATTAATACAAGCCAGTGAATCCTGGAATTAAATACTGTCATGTGCTGTTTTTGGTTTATATGCAGCATCAACAGAGAAAAGAGGTAATATGTTAAAGCGCTTATGAGAGTGTGTGACTCAAATACATAAGTATTAAGACTTCTAAACATTTTTAAACTTAATATAACAT